ACTTAATTATTTTATAAATGTCTTTTGTGGGATCACGGGTATGTTTTGAGTGTTTTCAAGTTATAAATACTTAAAGATGATATTCAGATGAAGAATATTGTCGGCAAGGGAATGTGTGACAATGAGGAACAAACAATTGGAGAATCGGAGCTAGAGTGAGAAAGTTATGGCATTTTGAAGTTGAAGTGGAAATCCTGGAATACACTCCAGTTTGAACATGCTTCATTATTTTGACAATAACTTAAGTTGTAGACATTAGATTGAGGCAATCTTGGACCATTGGAAATTTGATTTAAAGGGCTACAATTCATATGTTTACCACTTGGCCAAATTTGAATGTTATCATGCTTAAAAATCACCGTCTTTTCAATGCTGTGGCATACCACATTCTGGACAAATCAAGATTTCGGGGCAAAACCAACTATGCTAAGGCATAATGCCGTGGCACAACCATGATTCTAGAATTTTCTGCATTAAATATATGATGGTTATTTACAAGTTTAAGAGTTCTAAACCAAACAGGAAAGTAGGAAACATAACCCTAACACCCTAATGTCAATTTTTAGATAGAGACAAAGAGGATAGAGAAGATATTAGTTGCTATTTGTAAATCAAAACAACAACTCTTGGGGTTTTGGTTCATCATCTAGGGAAATTTTCTTTTATCTTTTATCTTTTTCTTGAACATATGTTTATATTGGTTGTTTCTTAAAATTCAATTATGAACTAAACAAAGTTTCTAGGGCTAAGATGTAGCCCAATTCTATGAATATGTGTTGATGTATTGTTGTTAATTATTGCTAAGTGTTAGTGTGTATGAGTTTATATACTTAGTACTTAAAGGTAGTTTGGTCTTTGTACATACAAATAGTGATATACACATATTGTAATAGACAGTAAAAGACATGAACTGAAACATATAACTTTTCTGATTTTTAAATTAACATGCTATCAGAGCTGGTCCACCTGTTTGTGTATGTATATTTTGGCTGAAGTTTCTTTTAGGCAAAGGGCAATAAAATAATGTCCTCGACTGATGTGTATTACAACATATTCAGCTCATATAAAACATATGGGTGATGTGTTGTTTTTTTTTCAACAAATTTCCTGACTCAGTTTGTAATTGAAGGTTATGTTGTTGAGTACTCTAGTTCCCATCAAAATGGCATTAATTATGTGGATTGTCGTTGCAAAAATGTGTAAACATTTGTCTAGATGACTAAAAAGTTGCTCGAACAATCCTAATTGCCTTATAATTTAGCATGCGTAACGCAATATTTTCAAAACCTAGGTTGGAATTATATTTATATATCAATAGTATCCTGTGAAAATCTTGTATCTAAATAATGGTTGTACTATTTCCTAAATGTATTTGTTACTATTTTTCAAATTGTGTGTTAGCGAACAGTTCTTTTTAAAATGCATGTTTCTCACATCATATATTATAATAAATAAATTTAAATTCATCTATAGGCCAATGTTCGAAACCTAGACCAGACTGCCAGTCCACCGGGCACTAGCAACCTCTCCGATCCGATTCAGTTCCAGGGGTTTTTTGTTAGATTTCAAACCTATAGGGACTACTTAATTTTTAAGGTTTTTTTTTCAATGTTTCAAAAGAAGGGACTAACTGAATTTTGTTGGGGCATTTTTGTATATATTTAAATTTAGGGACTAATTAAAATTTTAGGGGTATTTTGTGCAATAGTAAAATTTTAGGGAGCAATTTACAATCTTTAAAAAAAAAAATTGTTGCTAACATCATCCACCGGTTTGATCGGTCAAACTAATCAACTCGAAACTATGCCCTTGATAGGTCAAGGCTGATCCAGTTTTCAGAACCTTGTATAAGCCTAATCATTTTACTCAATAGACATGTTTTGAGTGAAAAATGTTTATGTAAAGTTAAAACGAAAATTACTAACTTACAATATCAATTCGATTGGTCACTGCTAATAATTGGATCAAAGCAGGCAGGAAAACTCACTAGACTTTGTGTAAGGACTTTAAAATCCTAAGATGATTTTGTCACATCTTATATGATGAGTAAGTCAAAGCAACGAAATCTACTAGATACCATACATAATTATTTGAAATCAATTTTTTTTATACATATGCATGTAATACATGATAATTATGGTCTATTGAAAACAGTCTCGTACATGAAGTCTATAAAGTCAAGTACTTCATTAAGCTTATAAAACATTAATCTAATGTAAAATGATATTTGTCTAGATGACCAAAATAGAGATTTTTGAATAGTTTATAATTCATTTGGAATGCAGTACACATGAACCAGTAACTATTATCTAATGTACATAGCCTTATAAGCAAAGAGATTAATCTTGATATGATATTGTAAGGACTATGCATGTATACCATTGATTTGAGTTGGTTATTCATTTTAAGTTTTAGCAACTTTAGTAATATTGAAATAAAATAAAATAAAATGTTTTGTGAAAGATGTTGTTTGTGATGGTGATTGTTATTATTTTTCAAAATTAGTGTGCTATTCATTATCTTAAAATTTAAAGTTATTTGTACTATTTGTAGAATTGGTCAGTTTTATCTTTATAAAAAAATATAATTTATGATTCTAAAATTCATATATAATACTACCACCGTTATTATTTATAATTTTTTTATTTTAATTGATATAAGTTATTTTTTTTTTTTAACCTTTAAAATGGTAGTTTCATAGTTCATAGACAAATCAGGTTATTGCTCAAGCCCAATTTGCTATAATTAATGAAAATTTCTTTTATTTAAAATTTGTTAAATAAGTTAAAGATTTGTTTTTTTTTATATATTTAATACCAACCGTTGGATTTGGTAAAGCTAATCCAGTGACTGATTTTTGCCCGCGTACATTCCGCGTAACGCGTGTGTGTCCTGAATTATCTTTGTACATCTCGAGTGGACACGATGGAAAGCAAAAAATGTAAACGCACAAGGGTACTGGGGTCTTTCTAATTAGAAAAAAAAGTAAAAGTAGAAAAGAAAAGGGTAAACAGGGAAAAAAAAAGGTATATTGATAACTACTTACGTCCGTTGCAAAGAAAATGATGGATGCAAGAGGGCAGCTCATATAAAATGCTAAGCTTGGTTTTGTCCGGGAGAAAACATAGCAATCTCAATCTCTCTCTTGTGTAAACTTCTTTTCCTTTTTGAATTCAAAATCATCCATTTCTGAGCTAATGGCGGATCAACTCACCGATGACCAGATCTCCGAGTTCAAAGAAGCCTTCAGCTTGTTCGACAAGGATGGCGACGGCTCGCTCTCTTCTAGATCTGCTTTTACTTTTTCAAATTCTCTGATCGTTGTGAATATTTGTGTCGCTTTCCTGTTTTTTGATGATCTCATGAGTTAGAATCGTTTATGATGCTATTGAAATGTTTTGATTTCTATTTTATGTTATCGATTCTGTTTGTTGATTATGAGGCTTATGTTTCGTGTATTGATGAAATCGCTGTGTTAATTTTAGAATTTTCTGTTGTGTATGGTGATTTCTATCTTGTTATGCATTTTGTTTGTGTTTTGATCTTCGGATCCTAGTCAATTTTTTAGAATGTGTTTTAAGTCAACTTTTTGATAGCTTGTTTTTTTTTTTTTTTTTTTTTTTTGTATTTTTTTTTTTTTTGCTTTTCTTCTGTGATATCCGTAGATATTTGTGAAGGATATTTCACTTGCTTCATAATAGATTTTTTCACATTAGATTTCTCTTTAAAAAAAAAAAAAAAAACCGATATCGTAACAAAAAAAGTTGTCCTTTTATTCACTTAATATTTTAACCATTTCCTCTGATTAAAATGAAGGAAATGCTACGATGCTGTGTAATCACTCTTTGAGGATTATAATTGGGCGAAATTGTCATATTTGAGTTAACTTCCATGATGATTGTGAGAATGTTGAATCTGCTAGATATTTGTTTTTTTCACTTTGTGGAGGTGCTTGGTTTGCTTGTTAGATTTGCAGATTCATCATCAAAATTGGAATGGGGTTTTTGTAGTTTCAACATGGTTTCTAATATAAATTGATATTGCAGGTTGCATCACCACCAGGAACTTGGGACTGTGATGAGGTCATTGGGGCAGAACCCCACTGAGGCAGAGCTTCAGACATGATTAATGAAGTGGACGCTGAGGTAACGGCACATTGTTTCCCCGAGTCCTTAACCTGATGGCCAGGAAGATGAAGGATACCGACTCTGAGGAGGAGCTTAAAGAAGCCTTCCGGGTATTCGATAAGGATCAGAATGGTTTCATCTCAGCTGCTGAGCTGCGCCATGTGATGACAAACTTAGGGGAGAAGCTTACTGATGAAGAAGTGGATGAGATGAAGGGAAGCTGATGTGGATGGCGATGGCCAGATAAATTACAGGAATTTGTCAAGGTTATGATGGCTAAGTAATGACCCCACCCTCACCAAAACTTCTTGAAGAAAATCATTTGAAAAAAAGATCTGGAGAAAAAAATCGACTAATATGATGGGATCCCTAGTTTGGTCTTTACCAATTTTAATTTGATAGTTTCTGAAGTGAGCACGGTCTGTATGGTGGTGGTGGAGTTGTTGTCTCCCCCTTCGATTTGTCTTGTGACTTTTTTAAGCATCTTTTTTTCGGTTTTTATATATAAACTTCTTCTGTGAACCTAAACTAGCTTGCAGAACATTGTTTTCTGTTGCATGAATGACACGTTAATTACTCAGCTATTATTTCTTACTTTTGTTCTGTGTATCTACTTTTGGGGGTGAAGTTTTTTTAGAATCGGGCTCTTATTTATTGTAATACTATTATATAAGATTTAACTCAATGCTGAGCATTAGGTATCCGAAAACCTTTAAGCAATATTCATTGTAATATTTTTAGTATCTTTCCACTGACAGTTACTTTCATCTTTCGTCACAAACAATGCTTAATCACCAAACTTTAATCGTGTAAGTAGTAGTACAGGTCTAAGTTGTCCCTCCATTGTCCGAAAACACGGAAAATGATGTGATGCAAGAAGGGCAGCTCCTATAAAAGGCAAGCTTGCTTTTATCCAGAGGGAAAACGCAACAATCTCAATCTCTCTCTCCGCGTATCTGTTTTTTTTTTAAAACCCGAAATCATTCATTCCTGAGTTAATGGCGGATCAACTCACCGATGACCAGATCTCTGAGTTCAAAGAAGCCTTCAGCTTGTTCGACAAGGATGGCGACGGTACGTCTCTCTGCTAGATCTGCTTTTCCTTTTTCAATTTCTCTGATTTTTGTTATTATATGTGTTCGCTTTCTTGTTTTTGATTATCTCTATGGATCTTTCTATTCGTTTTTTGATCTGCAGTGCTCTTGAAATGATTTGGTTTCTATTTTGTGATTATCGAATTCTATTTATCGATTATGAAGCTTCTGCTTTGTGAATTGATGAAATAGCTGTCTTAATTGTGAAACTTTATGTCGTGTATTTTGATTTTCTATGACGCAATCTTGAATATGCATTTTGGATTTTTGTTTTGATCTTCGGATCCTTGTCGACTTTTCCAGAATTTGTTTAAGTCAACTTTATGATGCCTGGTTTTGTTTTTCATTTTAATTTTAAGTTATGTGTTATATATTTTTCTTATTATTGTTTTTTTTTTTTTTTTTTGGTAGCCTTAGATTTTTAGTAAGGATTTAATTTACTTGCTTTATGATAGATTTTGTCTATAGATTGATTCTAAATAATTGAATATTGAACAAATAAATTGTCCTTTTATTCACTTAATAATTTAACCCTTTCCCCTTATTAAAATAAAGGAAATGCTACAATATGATATGTAACCATTCCTTAAGATTTTGATTGGGAGTTATTGTCACATTTGAGATAACTTTCGTGTTTATTAGAGAATGTTGAATCTGCACCATTATTTTCTATATTGAGGAGTTCTACTCGTAATTGTGCCTGCAGTAGTCGCTGGGTCTTCCAGTGACATAATTAAGCTCTACTTTTTAAATTATGAAGACAAATTGAGTTAAGAAGAAGTTTATTTTTTACTCTTAATTGAGAAAGTTTTCCATTCAATGAAGCATCTCCTGAAATTTTGATGATGAACTCTTGCTGTTTCAGAATATCTTGTTTTTATGGACACAAATTGGACATTAAAAAGATATTTCACATTAGTTTTAAAAGGCCTCTCTCAATTTCTTCCCAACTTAACACCCTACCATTCATTATTAAGTCATTGACTCCATATACAATAATCTACAATAGAGTTGTCTCTTATAACTTAAAGAAGTTTGAGATGGGCCAATACATGTTTATTCATTTATGAGAAAAAGAAAATCCACCTCAAGTCAAGAGAAGCAAAAGTGGGGGTGGTTTTCTACAGATCAAACTCATTCTCCAGTTTCTCTTGATTTATTTTCAAGTTTTTTTTTTTTTTTTTTTTTTCCCTTTTTTTCAACTAATCCGAAAGAAGGACTATGAAAACATAACTGGCAAAGCTTGTTGAAGAAATGCTGCTTTGAAGTTGAATGGCTTTTAAAAAGAAAGCAGTTTGCAGTGAAGACTTGGAAGTATTAATGGAGTTTCATATTTTGTAAATTAGCGTAAAGGATAGTCATTTGTTTCAACTCAATAGGCTGTACATTTCTAAAGAGAAATATGTGTCACTTGGAGAGTCAGCGACTGTCGCATGCAAGTGTGCTAGCGATGTTATGGTTCTTGATTTGGTTTTTAGATTTGTGTATTCTTCATGGTAATGGGTTCTATTTTGTTATGAAAACTAATTTAATAAATTCAATTTTGCAGGTTGCATCACCACCAAGGAACTTGGGACTGTGATGAGGTCATTGGGCCAGAATCCCACTGAGGCAGAGCTCCAGGACATGATTAATGAGGTGGATGCTGATGGTAATGGGACAATTGATTTTCCCGAGTTCCTGAACCTGATGGCCAGGAAGATGAAGGATACCGACTCTGAGGAGGAGCTTAAAGAGGCCTTCCGGGTATTTGACAAGGATCAGAATGGTTTCATCTCAGCTGCTGAGCTGCGCCATGTGATGACAAACCTGGGGGAGAAGCTTACCGATGAAGAAGTTGATGAGATGATCAGGGAAGCTGATGTTGACGGAGATGGTCAAATAAATTATGAGGAGTTTGTCAAGGTTATGATGGCCAAGTAATGATCCCACCCTCGCAAAAACGTCTTATAAGAAATCATTTTGAAAAAGATTTGGAGAAAATAGGGTTGGCTAATATAATGGGATCCCTAGTTGTTATATATATTTTCGAGTATCTTTTCAGTTTTTACATATTTTACTTCCATCTGTGAACCTAATCCAGCTTGCAGAACATTGTTTTCTGTTGCATGAATGACACTGTTAATTACTTGGCTATTTCTTATTTGCCTTTATAGCTTCTGTGCATATCCGAATTTTTTGTTTAACGATTTTATGATAACTCTTAAGACTTCTGGGTGCATCAAAGAACCTGTTTTGTGTATGTATATTTTGGCTGAAGTTTCTTTTAGGCAAAGGGCAATAAAATAATGTCCTCGACTGATGTGTATTACAACATATTCAGCTCATATAAAACATATGGGTGATGTGTGTTTTTTTTTTCAGACAAATTTCCTTGACTCAGTTTGTAAATTGAAGGTTATGTTGTTGAGTACTCTAGTTCCCATCAAAATGGAGCATTAATTATGTGGATTGTCGTTGCAAAAATGTGTAAACATTTGTCTAGATGACTTAAAAAGTTGCTCGTAACAATCCTAATTGCCTTTATAATTTAGCATGCGTAACGTCAATATTTTCAAAACCTAGGTTGGTAATTATATTTATTATATCAATAGTATCCATGTGAAAATCTTGTATCTAAAATTAATGGTTGTACTATTTTCTTAAATGTATTTGTTACTATTTTTCAAATTGTGTGTTAGCGAACAGTTCTTTTTTAAAATGCATGTTTCTCACATCATATATTATTAATAAATAAAATTTAAATTCATCTATAGGCCAATGTTCGAAAACTTGGACCAGACTGGCCAGTCCGATCGGGAACTAGCAACCTCTCCGATCCGATTCAGGTTCCAGGGGTTTTTTGTTAGATTTCAAACCTATAGGGACTACTTGAATTTTTTAAGGTTTTTTTTCAATGTTTCAAAATGTAAGGGACTAACTGAATTTTGTTGGGGCATTTTTGTAATATATTTAAAATTTAGGGACTAATTAAAATTTTAGGGGTATTTTTGTGCAATAGTAAAATTTTAGGGAGCAATTTACAATCTTTAAAAAAAAAAATTGTTGCTAACATCATCCAACCGGTTTGATCGGTCAAACTAATCAACTCGGAAACTAGGCCCTTGATTAGGTCAAGGCTTGATCCAGTTTTCAGAACCTTGTATAAGCCTCAAATCATTTTAACTCAATAGACATGTTTTGAGTGAAAAATGTTTATGTAAAGTTAAAACGAAAACTCATACTTAAAATGACAATATCAATTCGATTGGTCACATGCTAATAATTGGTATCAAAGCAGGCTAGTGAAAACTCACTAGACTTTTGTGTAAGGACTTTAAAATCCATAAGATGATTTTGTCACATCTTATATTGAGTGAAGTAAGTCTAAAGCAAACGAAATCTACTAGATACCATACATAATTATTTGAAATCAAATTTTTTTTATACATACTGCATGTAATACATGATAATTATGGTCTATATGAAAACAGTCTCGTACATGAAGTCTATAAAGTCAAGTACTTCATTAAGCTTATAAAACATTAATCTATATGTAAAATGATATGATTTGTCTAGATGACCAAAATAGAGATTTTTGAATTAGTTTATTAATTCATTTGGAATGCAGTACACATGAACCAGTAAACTATTATCTAATGTACATAGCCTTATAAGCAAAGAGATTAATCTTGATATGATATTGTAAGGACTATGCATGTATACCATTGGATTTGAGTTGGTTATGTCATTTTAAGTTTTAGCAACTTTAGTAATAATTGAAATAAAATAAAATAAAAATGTTTTGTGAAAGATGTTGTTTAGTGTATGGTGATTGTTATTATTTTTCAAAATTAGTGTGCTATTCATTATCTTAAAATTTAAAGTTATTGTATCTATATTTGTAGAATTGGTCATGTTTTATCTTTATAAAAAAATTATAATTTATTATTCTAAAATTCATATAAATAATACTACACCGTTATTATTTATAATTTTTTTATTTTAATTGATATAAGTTAATTTTTTTTTATTTAACCTTTAAAATGGTAGTTTCATAGTTCATAGACAAATCAGGTTATTGCTCAAGCCCAATTTGCTATAATTAATGAAAATTTTCTTTTATTTAAAATTTGTTAAATAAGTTAAAAGATTTTGTTTTTTTTTATATATTTAATACCAACCGTTGGATTTGGTTAAAGCTAATCCAGTGACTGATTTTTGCCCGCGTACATTCCGCGTAACGCGTGTGTTCCTAGAATTATCTTTGTAACCATCTCGAGTTGGACAACGATGGAAAGCAAAAAATGTAAACGCACAAGGGTACTGTGGTCTTTCTAATTAGAAAGAAAAAGTAAAAGTAGAAAAGAAAAGGGTAAACAGGGAAATAAAATAAAGGTAGATTTGATAAACTACTTACGTCCGTTAGCAAAGAAAATGATAGGATGCAAGAGGGGCAGCTCATATAAAATGCTAAGCTTGGTTTTGTCCGGAGAGAAAACATAGCAATCTCAATCTCTCTCTTAGTGTAAACTTCTTTTCCTTTTTGAAATTCAAAATCATCCATTTCTGAGCTAATGGCGGATCAACTCACCGATGACCAGATCTCCGAGTTCAAAGAAGCCTTCAGCTTGTTCGACAAGGATGGCGACGGTCCGTCTCTCTTCTAGATCTGCTTTTACTTTTTCAAATTCTCTGATCGTTGTGAATATTTGTGTTCGCTTTCCTGTTTTTTGATGATCTCATGAGTTAGAATCGTTTATGATGCTATTGAAATGTTTTGATTTCTATTTTATGATTATCGAATTCTGTTTGTTGATTATGAGGCTTATGTTTCGTGTATTGATGAAATCGCTGTGTTAATTTTAGAATTTTCTGTTGTGTATGGTGATTTTCTATCTTGTATTTGCATTTTGATTTTGGATCTTCTGGATCTAGTCAATTTTTTAGAATGTGTTTTAAGTCAACTTTTTGATAGCTGTGTTTTTTTTTTTTTTTTTTTTAATCGTAATTTTTTTTTATTTTTGCTTTTCTTCTTGTGATATCCGTAGATATTTGTGAAGGATTATTTCACTTGCTTCATAATAGATTTTTTCCATACATTAGATTTCTTCTTTAAAAAAAAAAAAAACCGATATCGTAACAAAAAAAGTTGTCCTTTTATTCACTTAATATTTTAACCATTTCCTCTGATTAAAATGAAGGAAATGCTACGATATGCTGTGTAATCACACTTTGAGGATTATAATTGGGCGAAATTGTCATATTTGAGTTAACTTCCATGATTGATTGTGAGAATGTTGAATCTGCTAGATATTTTGTTGTTTTCACTTTGTGGAGGTGCTTGGTTTGCTTGTTAGATTTGCAGATTCATCATCAAAATTGGAATGGGGTTTTTGTAGTTTCAACATGGTTCTATAATATAAATTGATATTGCAGGTTGCATCACCACCAAGGAACTTGGGACTGTGATGAGGTCATTGGGGCAGAACCCCACTGAGGCAGAGCTTCAGGACATGATTAATGAAGTGGACGCTGATGGTAACGGGACAATTGATTTCCCCGAGTTCCTTAACCTGATGGCCAGGAAGATGAAGGATACCGACTCTGAGGAGGAGCTTAAAGAAGCCTTCCGGGTATTCGATAAGGATCAGAATGGTTTCATCTCAGCTGCTGAGCTGCGCCATGTGATGACAAACTTAGGGGAGAAGCTTACTGATGAAGAAGTGGATGAGATGATAAGGGAAGCTGATGTGGATGGCGATGGCCAGATAAATTACGAGGAATTTGTCAAGGTTATGATGGCTAAGTAATGACCCCACCCTCACCAAAACTTCTTGAAGAAAATCATTTGAAAAAAAGATCTGGAGAAAAACAGGGTCGACTAATATGATGGGATCCCTAGTTTGGTCTTTACCAATTTTAATTTGATAGTTTCTGAAGTGAGCAGCGGTCTGTAATGGTGGTGGTGGAGTTGTTGTCTCCCCCTTCGATTTGTCTTGTGACTTTTTTAAGTATCTTTTTTCGGTTTTTATATATTAAACTTCTTCTGTGAACCTAAACTAGCTTGCAGAACATTGTTTTCTGTTGCATGAATGACACTGTTAATTACTCAGCTATTATTTCTTACTTTTGTTCTGTGTATCTACTTTTTGGGTGAAGTTTATTTTAGAATCGGGCTCTTAATTTATTGTGAATACTATTATATAAGATTTTAACTCAATGCTGAGCATTAGGTATCCGAAAACCCTTTAAGCAAATATTCATTGTAATATTTTTAGTATCTTTCACTGGACAGTTACTTTCATCTTTCGTCACAAACGAATGCCTAATCACCAAACTTTAATCGTGTAAGTGGTAGTACAGGTCTAATTGTCTCAATTGTCAAATTCTATATTAGCTAATAGGATGTCAGAACGTTGATGGTGTTTTATCTCTTCTCTGGTCTTGTCTTGATTGTCTTATCGTTAACACAAGCAAATATTCCAATAAAATCAAACAAAGATTGGCCATCAACTCATTCCAATAATAGCACTTTCAAATTTTCAACATGATGTTGCGTGGCATCCTGGCATGTTGCCTTTTCTCAAATATTTGGTGAAAATCAAGTTGCTCTGAAAAGTGGTCAACAATTGTAATCAAAACTGGAGTGGCTGCATGAGTTGAAACTAAAAAGCAAGCCCAGTGGGCTCACCCAACCTAAATAAATAAAAACAAATGTTCATGCACCCACTCATGCTATATAGAATATAGCATCCACCTTTTCTTTTTAGTAAATACAGTCAAACTGCCCCCACCTTCTTCCAAAATCATTGATGAAATTGTAGTTTTAACCGTCCTTGCTTAGCTAACATTAACTTTCTCTTCAACCACTTCCGGAATTAACTTATTTTTATTATGTTCTTCAAGAACGAAGACTTTGAATGAAAGGATTCTCGTAATCTTAGCCCATTTAAAGACACGTTGGTTTAAATGAATACCCTAAAATAATAGAGAAATTTATACTTTGCTTTATAAAGCAATATAATGATAATAATGCAAGTCTTCAAAGTCTTCTTTGTATAGTTCAAAATTAATAAATAAAGTAAATTGTAAGTAAAGGTAATTTCTTAAAGCAAACCAAAGTCAATAAAAGTAGTACAAGTTGTAATCCTAATTAAATGAACAATTTTGACTAATAATAAGATCTAGTTTCTTTTGGTATCTAAAGAATATAAAGGAATAAGTCAATTATCACATTTCTACTCAACAATCTCATGTGTGCATGAAAGCCTATTCGTGTGTTTAACAACAAGAAATGCTAAAAATACTACTTTTCATTCTCGTTTTCATTCTCTTCTCCTGACTTTACATGTCTAGTAAGTCACCCAAAGAAAAAAAAAAAAACGATAGATAAATAATCATTTCATATTTTATAACCTTTTCACACCTTTTGTATATATGTCTAATGGAGAGTGAAAGAAGAGAGTGTTCCTTATTTGAGAACGCATCTATCAACAAAAGATCTAGATCAATAGAATTTGCAGTTTAGACTTGATAAGAGCTTTAAAATACGCATGTGTTTAGTGGTTTATTGGGATTATTTATAGGAAATCAGGTTTAATTTATGCCATTATCTTAATTATTTTATAAATGTCTTTTGTGCGATCACATGTATGTTTTGAGTGTTTTCAAGTTATAAATACTTAAAGATGATATCCAGATGAAGAATAATGTCGGCAAGGGAATATGTGACAATGAGGAACAAACAATTTGAGAATCGGAGCTAGAGCGGGAAAGTTATGGCGTTTTGAAGTTGAAGTGGAAATCCTGGAATACACTCCAGTTTGAACATGCTTCATTATTTTGACAATAACTTAAGCTGTAGACATTAGATTGTGGCAATCTTGGACCATTGGAAAATTGATTTAAAGGGCTACAATTCATATGTTTACCACTTGGCCAAATTTGAATGTTATCATGCTTAAAAATAATCGTCTTTTCAATGTTGTGGCACAGCACATTCTGGACAAATCAAGATTTCGGGGCAGAACCAACTATGCTGAGGCATAATGTCATGGCATAACCATGATTCTAGAATTTTCTGCATTAAATATATGATGGTTATTTACAAGTTTAAGAGTTCTAAACCAAATAGGAAAGTAGGAAACATAACCCTAACACCCTAATGTCGATTTTTAGAGAGAGATAGAGAGGATAGAGAAGAGATTAGCTGCTATTTGTAAATCAAAACAACAACTCTTGGGGTTTTGGTTCATCATCTAGGGAAATTTTCTTTTATCTTTTTCTTGAACATATGTTTATATTGGTTGTTTCTTAAAATTCAATTATGAACTAAACAAAGTTTATAGGGCTAAGATGTAGCCCAATTCTATGATTATGTGTTGATGTATTGTTGTTAATTATTGCTAAGTGTTAGTGCGTATGAGTTTATATAGTTAGTACTTAAGGGTAGTTTGGTCTTTGTACATACAAATAATGATATACACATATTGTAATAGACAGTAAAAGACATGAACTGAAACATATAACTTTTCTGATTTTTAAATTAACATGCTATCAGAGCTGGTCCCTAATCAGTGGTGGTGGCGGTTATTGTTCAGATATCGGAGTTATCAATAACCACATCACTTGGTGCTTATCACTTTCTGGAAAAGAAACTTGAAAACTTGAGCTCAAATCTAATCAAGGAGCACCAGATCTGCTCATCTTCATATCTTGTCTCGACGGAATCATAGTCAGTAGGAGTCACAGTGACCAGTTTGTTTACGAAGGGGGGATGGTGCTAACTAGTCTGTTTGCAAAGGGGGTATGGCAGCTGGTGCTTTAGTTTCTGAGAAAAATATGAAACCCTAAGCCCAAGGGTGAAATTGACAGATTTAAAAGTTGAGAAGTTGTTTTATAAGAATAGAAAAGTTGAGGGGTTGTTCTCAAGAAGAGAAAAGTTAAGGAGTTTTCTGCAGGAACATAAAAGTTTAGGGGTTGTTCTACAAGAAGAGAAACGTTGAATGGTTGTTCTGTATTTTTCTATTCTATTCACGGATTTGTCTTTGCTTGATACTCCATGGCTAAAATTGGTGTTTCTGGTGGCTCTCATACTATAGTTTTAGAAGTAATTTCTTCCTTTGGCCCTCGTATTACAAATCAATGTCTTTAAGTGTTGAACACTATTCCCAACGGAAGAAAATAGTTTTTTTAGCTCTCCATGGATAGGGCCAACATAAGCATCTCACAAATTTGCCCCCAAACGCAAATATCAATCCCTCTAGATCAAATAAGTGGTTACAAGATGATGCTCGAATTTTTTCCCAACTATTTAATTCAATGGAGCCCCAAGTACTCTCCCTTACAACACATTGTGACACTGTTAAAGAGTTGTGGGAATACCTAGCTATTTTATACATGGGAAAATTGAATATGTCTCGGGTTTATGATGTATTGAAGACTTTATGTAGTATGAATCAACATGGTTGATATGTTATTGAGTACTTTGGTGAATTCAAAGCCTTGTTTGAAGAGTTTAATGTTTTGCTTCCGATTGATGTTGATCCAACAAGGCCAAGGAGTAGCGAGAACAATTAGGTATTGTATGGTTTTTGTCCAGTTTGGAATATGAGCTACACGTTCACAAATTCTTTCTAGTTTTGATGTTTCCTCTTTGGCTGATACATCTGCTCGAGTTGTGAGGGTGTCTCGGCATACCACAGCTATTTCTTCCTCAATTAAGCTTTATGACGAGGCTACTCTCCTTAGCTCTCGATGGGCTGAACATTCACATAGACGACGTGATGGTGGACGGTATGGGAGGCGTCCTGGTGGATGTGGAGGACATTCTGGTGGACATGGTGGACCATTTGGAGATGACATTATTTGTTACTATTATAAGGGGCTTGGACATATGAAGTGGGATTGTCCGAAGGGCCTTGTTGATGTTACTGCTTCTAATCAAACACCTAACCACAGAATAATTCCTATGTTTGATGAAGAGTTTACTTGGTATACATAGTTTTCAGTGCCCAATTAGTTTACCCCTCCCTCCAAGCCTTCCACTACTACTCTAGTGCATAAAGGTACATCTGCTACTTGTTTTTCGGCCTTCCCTCAAACTTGGGTGATCAATTCTAGTGCTTCTGACCATATGGTTGGTGCCACAGGTATTCTATTTGATTTAACCCTTTCTTTGACATTGTCATCAGTGACCATGGCAAATGGTTTGTCCACAGCGGTACAGTGATGTGGTTTTGCGTTCCCCACACCCTCTCTACCTTTAAATTATGTTTTATATATTCCTAATTTTCCATTTAACCTTTTGTCAATTAGTAAAATTACTAAGCATCTTTATTGTAGTGTCTCATTTTTTTTCCTGCTCATTATCTTTTTCAAGATCTTTCCATGAGAAGGACGATTGGTAGGGGTTGTGTAGTGGATGGTCTCTATGTGCTGGATGCTCTTCCATCATCACCTTCTGCTTTTTTTGGTGTCTCATCTACAGCCCTTGATCTTCACTGTAGGCTTGAGCATCTGTCTCTTTCTAACCTCAAGAAAATGTTTCTTAGTCTTGCATCTGTATCCGAGTTAGTCTATAAGCCTGGTCAGTTTGCCAAACATCACCGCGTGTCTTATCCCCCTAGAGTCTGTAAACGAGGTTCTGCTCATTTTCATTTAGTTCATTATGATGTTTGGGGTCCGTGTCTTGTTATTGCTATGTTAGGATTTTGTTATTATGTTACCTTTGTTGATGATTATACAAGAATGACATGGCTTTATTTAATGAAAAATTGTTCTGAGTTGTATTCCCTTTTTACCACTTTATGTGTTGCAATACACACTCAGTTTTTTGTTCCTATTCGCGTATTACGTAGTGAGAATGGATGCAAGTATTTTTCTGCTTCTTTTTCTTCCTTTATGGCACAACACGATACTATTCATCAATCCTTGTGTCCAGACACTCCACAACAAAATGGGGTGGTTGAACGTAAAAATCGGCATCTCGTGGAGGTTGTCCATGCTCTTCTGTTTCATAGGAAAGTTCCTAAAGTTTTTTGGAGGGAAATGGTCAAAATTGCTTGTTATTTGATTAATTGTATGTCATCTACTGTGCTTTAGGGGGAGGTTCCCCATGCTATATTGTTCCCGTCTGTGTCGCTCTTCCTAGTCTCACCAAAAATATTTGGGAGTGTGTGCTTTATCCGTGACATTTGTCCTAGTATCACCAAACTTGATGCCAAATATCTCAAGTGCATTTTTATTGGTTATTCTCGCACACAAAAGTAAGGGTGTTCAAAATCGGGTAATCGAACAGGTTAACCGATTTTGTGAACCGAACTGGTTTTTCAATTCAGAAATTTTTCTGGACCGAAACTGAACCAGTTAAGGGGAAAACTAGTTAGTAAAAATCAGTTAACGATTTTGAATCAGTTTTAATTTTATATTTTATATTTTATATATTTTTTTTCATTTAATATTTCTATAATAAACCAGCTTTTTTATTTTTTATTTTTATAATAAACCAGTTTATAAGACCGGTTTTGGTTAACTGGTTTCCATATTCTCATAACTCGGTAACCAAACCAAAAAATCAATTTTTGTATTTATTTGTACCGAAACCGAACCAATTTTTCAGATAACCAAAAAATCAGTTCGATTCGGTTTCAGCATTTTTTTAACACCCCTACACAAAGGGGTTATTGGTGTTTTTCCCCTACCTTAGGGCATTTTTTTTCTTCTTTGGATGTCTCCTTTGTTGAGTATGTCCCATTTGACAGACAATTTTCTTGGTCTTCTCTTTCTTCTAACGATGATGATAATCTTCTCATTTACAATATCAATGTTCCGTCTTCTGCTCCATTGTCCTTTACCCCTGTTTCTCTAATCATAGATGTGTCATCCAGTATTGCCCCTACTACATCGAGTTCCTCATCTATGGATCCCTCTACTGACCCACCACTATCCGCTCCACCAGTCTTTAACCTTAACCTACCCATTGCCATGCGAAAAGGTACTCGAAGCTCTCGTCCCAATCCCAAATATTTGTTATCTTATGCAAGTTTGTCCTCTCCCTTGCATAATCTTATCTCGACTCCATCTCTATCCCCAAGTCTGTCTATGAGGCTGTGAATGACTCTAGGTGGCATAGTGCAATAAAAGATGAGATGTTGGCTCTTGAACAGAATCGCACTTGGGATCTTGTTTATTTGCCTGAGGGAAAACACACGATTAGTTGTAAGTGGATTTATACTGTAAAAGTAAATCCTAATGGCTCCTTGGCTAGACTGAAAGCTCGTTTGGTTGTTAAAGGGTATGCTCAGAAATATGTTGTGAATTACGATGACACCTTCTCTCCTATGGCAAAGATGACTTATGTATGTTTGTTCATTTCTTTAGCGGCCACCCATTATTGGCACCTATATCAACTCAATGTGAAAAATACATTCCTTTAGTGTGATCTCTCTGAGAAGATATATATGGAGCAACCACATGGGCTTGTTGCACAAGGGGAGAGAGGTAAGGTATGTCGGTTGAGGAAGTCCTTGTATGGCCTAAAAAAAAATCCCTCGTGCTTGGTTTGGGTGTTTTATCGATGTTGTTCACCAATTTGGACTTCAGAGATACAATTATGATCATTCTGTCTTTTTTTAGCATTCTGCCTCAATTCGCATATTGCTTATTGTTTATGTTGATGGTATAGTTATTACAGGTGATGACTATAATGGAATTATTGCTTTAAAAACCTTTGTTCAGAAACAATTTCAAACAGAGGACTTGGGTTGTCTACTATACTTTCTTGGGATTGAGATTGCATGATGCAAACGTGGCATCTTCTTATCCCAAAGAAAATATGTTATTGACTTGTTATAGGATGCTGGTATGGTTGATGTTTGACCAAGTGACTCTCTGATGGATATTAATGTTAAGTTGGCTCCACAAGATAGGCAAGACTTACAAGAGCCTGTAGGTACCGTAGATTGGTTGGGAAGTTAAATTGTTTTGTTATCATGAGACCTGATATTGCTTATACCATGAGTGTGCTTAGCAAGTTTCTGTCAGCTCCATGAACTACCCATTGGGATGCAGCCATGTGCATTTTAAGATACTTGAAGCAAACTCCTGGTAAGGGTGTTATGTATCGTGATTATGGCCATATGAATATTGAGAGCTTCTTTGATGTAGATTGGACTGGGTGTCAGTTTGATAGAAAGTCCACATCAGGTTATTGCATTTTTGTTGGTAGAAATATGGTTTCTTGGAAGAGTAAGAAGCAAAATGTGATTGCACGATCTAGTACAAAGGCAGAGTATCGAGCTATGGCTTTGGCTACCACAGAGTTGATATGGTTACAGTCTTTTATCCTAGAGTTGGGTTTCCATTCGACACAGTCAACACGATTGTGGTGTGACAATCAAGCAGCAATTCATATTGCCACTAATCCCGTATTTCACGAACGCACTAAACACATAAAGGTGGATTGTCATTTCATACGCGAAAAGCTATTGCAGAAGATTATTCATGTAGAACTTGTGTGTACTTGTGATCAACTAGCTGATATTCTCAAAAAGTCCTTAAGAGCACTCGGGTTAATTCTATTTGTGACAAGCTAGGCATGACAAGTATTTATGCTCCAGCTTTAGGAGGAGTGTTAGTGTGTATGAGTTTATATACTTAGTACTTAGAGGTAGTTTTGTCTTTGTACATACAAATAGTGATATATGTATATTGTAATAGACAGTAAAAGACATGAACTGAAACATATAACTTTTCTAATTTTTAAATTAACACTAAACATGTATTTTCTAGGTCTTATTATGATTCTTAATGCTTCAATTCTTTTAGGCCTAAGAGTTGATTAATTTAATGGACTAGGTTGAGATCGAAAGATGAAATCTAGTTTGTCTAATGTAATAAAACCATAGATTGAACAAACGCTAAATATAGGTTACCGTGATTTGTGTGACTATAGTAAATTCCATAAAGCTCAATGATCCCTTAAGACTTAAATTTAATTTAGAGATATCTTGAGTTAGTAATAAAAAGTTAATCTTATAATTGTTTGAGAGAAAGTTATTGGAATTCTAGGGAACTTGGTCTTTAGAAAATGCTTAACAATGTTAGCATTAATTATCAATACATAGGACTAGAATTGGCATGAAGTCTTTGTTCTAGGTTTAGTCATATTGTTTGCAACCAATGATTTTTGTTTTATCTTATTTTCTTTCAAATTTAGTTTATTTTAGATTGTTAGTTTTAATTGATTCATTCCTAAAATTTCAGTTCATTAAATAGTAATAAGATAGTTTTTTTTAGTAATTGGTTACTAGTAATTCTCTTGGGATTCGACATCCGTTATTTATACTATATTATTTGCACGATTTTGTATACTTGCGGATTGGCAGACAAGACTCACAAGATAATATATTTGATGTATTTTTTGAGACAAATTTCCTCTCGAGTCGTTTTTCAAATTTGAAGTTATGTATTAGAGAAAGGGAGAACGACTTTTCCCACCCACCGTTATGTTCTGTTAACAAATTCTGTTCTCAATAAGGGCACGATGGTCAATTTACACCAAACCGCAAAAATCAAAGTTTAAAGTTGAAATGGTTGCCGTGTATCACTCTAAAGCTGGCTTAGGAAAAAAAAAAACGAAAACAAAAAGCCTTTGCCTTTTCTCCCTGTTCTCTGTAATCGAAGCTTAAGCAGCTAGGGTTGGCGACTGGCGGCTGTTGAAGACGACGACTGAGCAAAGAAAAATGGTTGAAACCAACGATTCATCTTCGTTTCACTTCAGCCATGGCTTCTCACGCCGGAATTCTCCTCGTCACAAAAAAGCTCAAAAAGAATATTAAAGAAGACTTTGGAGCCTTCGTTGAGAAGCTTCAACTTCTCCCTCCGCCTTAACCTGCTCCTCCCAATGCTCCTCATCCTCTCAATTTTTCTCACCTTCGTCGTCTCTGACGTGTACGCTCTCTCGCTTGCTGCTCGGCTCGTAAAATAATGATTTTTTTTGTGTATTTATTAATTTGTGTTTGTTTAATAGATTTGATATCGAGGTTATGTTACCGGTCTCGGCCATCCGAAGTGGGCGACTACAAGCAGTGCAGCTTCTAGAACGGTGCCGGTGGATTCGACTCTCGTGGAAGGAGGTGCCACTTGCGTTGGTAAAACGGTGGTGGATGAACTGGCTTATAGGTTTGTAATTTTTGTTCATTGCTTCAGTATTTGAGTGAGAAATTTATTATCAAGCTCATGAGAAATGGCCAAAAATAGTATTAAAGTCTCGACATTTTTGCTTTTAATTTTAGATTTTGTATCATTGAAGATTGAAAAGTCCAATTTTTGGTTTAGAAGTCATTATGATTAAAAAAAAAAAAAACAAAAAAAAAAAAAAAAACTTAGTCAAGGTGGCATATAAGCCATTAGAAGAGAAAATTATAAGTCATTACTTACTGTTTTATCCTACTTTTGGCGGGGTGAATGTTGGAATTTTTAATATTCTGTTCTTATTTTCTTTTCTATATGTTAAATTTTTGTATCGTTTGGTTTACCGTTGGTTATGGATTGTTTTTGGGTGCTTTATTTTTAGTATCAATGGAGTGAGCAAGCATTATGGGACACCAACTAATCCTGTAGCACATGCTCGAGTACCTAGTGGATCATGTAGTGGGGCTTTTGTGGTTGTGGCAGCTAATCTTGTTGACTTCTCTTTGAGTGAGTTTTTCTTTTTGTATCGTTTAATAGCTTATTTATCTCTTACTTTCCCTAGCAGGTACGTGATTGATCTTGATAACATGATGGATTAAATTAATGTGGTCAAGAATGTGTTTGTAGTCGTTAAAATTTCTTAGCACTAAAATGTTCCATTTCTTCACAATTTCTCTGGTATATGCAAGTATACCTGGCTCTTAATGACAGTAATAATGTCAAAGATTCAATAATATATTTTCTATATCTATAATATGCGTTGATATTAATTGTTTTGTTTTTGTGTTTATCAGAAAAGGATAAATTTGGTCCTGTTTTGTCATGGGCGCAAAGAGTTAAAATTGTTGTGGGGGCAACAAGAGAGTTAAATATCTACATGAAAAGGTAGAGCCTCGTATCATCCATCGTAATATCAAATCCAGCAATGTATTGCTTTTCGATGATGATGTTGCTAAGATTTCTGATTTCGATTTGTCAAATATGGCAGCATGTATGCATTCCACATGTGTTCTTGGGAACTTTATCATGCTCCAGAGTAAGCTCTTTTTTAACTGTTGAAAATATGTGCTTTTCTACTTTCTGCATCTGTGTATGATAAAAATGACTACAAATTTATATTATGTATTAATGTTCTAATCAGAAATTAGTTACATAGAGGCAAGATGAGGTAAATGCGTGGATTGATCAAAGAACCTTTAAGATTGATGAATAAGAAATAACGTACCTACAAATCAATAGTAGAAAGAAATAATTTTAATGTGTACTATTTAACATTCACAAATAACATGTTTTGGCTAGCACCCTAAACATTGGAAGGTGATGCAATTTATGTATGGTCATTGCTATATATGCCACTCATCAATCAACAAGAAGACTATTTAGAGAACTACTCTGCACACTTGAAACCTTGGTTTCTTATTTTATTTTTTTACTGGAGCACCTATAAATACTCCCGGCCTTAATATATGATTTTGGATTGCAGATACGCTATGACTTGACAGATGAGTGCAATGAGTGATGTTTATAGCTTTGATGTTGTCCTGTTGGAACTATAATTGAGCGGAAGCCTGTTGATCATACCTACCGCTACCGCTGGACAGCAGAGCCTTGTGACATGGGTATGAACTTCATCTTTGTTCTTTTCTACCACTAACTCTTTTTGGAACATACATATTTTTTCTATTTCGTTATTCTCTATACTGATAGATAGCAAATTCATATATGTGTAAGTTTCATTCAAGCTGATTTTTATGCAATTCTGGATTGTTTTAGGCAACTCCAAAACTCAGTGAAGATAAGGTGAAGCAATGCGTTGATGCTAAGTTAAATGGAAATACCCTCCTAAGGCAATTGAAAGATGATAACTTTGACTGAAAATAATTCGTCAAATTCGAGCTTTCTTGGTGGAAGAGCAAAAGATTGTGAAAGAAGGTTTTGAAGATCCAGAAAGCAAAGTAAATGCAAGTTTCAAGGAGCTAGAAAGTGGGAGGGTGAAAGCAGAACTTTTTTGGATTTTAAGAATGAATTAGAAACTGGAAAAGCTGCTTCTTTTGTATTGAATTCCATATATTTATTGAATTTGACTTGACAAAATTTCTTTTATATATTTATGCACTATAATTTTACAATCTGGATTCTTATTTTTAAGCAAATTATTAATGCTGCTACTTAGCTTTATTTGGGTTTAAATTGACAAAATATAAATATAAATGTCAGGACAAACCGGTAATTTTAAAGGTTTCAAATTTTAAAAATCTGATAGTAACTTCATTTTTTAATAAAAAAATTGAAGGGACAAATTAGTAATTTAAATTTAAATATATAGTCGAGGGCATGCCAATAATTTCATATTTAAAAAGTGGATATATTGGTAATTGAATTGTTGACACATGTAAAATAATAAAAAAATTATTAAGTAAAATAATAAAGGATATTTTTGTCTTTATAGTCAAATAGTAACGGATTTTCTTAACCGAACATAATGGTGGGTGAAAAAGTGTCGTTTTGAAACTTGACGGTTGGAAAAGTGTTGTTTCGCCAAACCTTGGGTGGGAAAAAGTCGTTCTCCCTTAGAGTAACCAAACTCTCATAAAATGAAACATTACTTACAGGTATTGTAGCTACAACAAAGTGAGAACATTTGTCTAACATGACTTAAAAGTTCTTGGGGAATGGTTTTGACTACCTCTTTAATTAGCAAGTGCAATGTCAATCTTTTAATTTAAAAGAAATTTGGTAACTATATTTATCATGTCAATAGCATCATTCAATATGAATATGTTGTAATTAAAATTAACGGCCATCCTATTTTCTAAAATGTGCAAGTATGTAAGCTCCACATCAAACTCCATATATTAACCAAGCAATGCATGCTTTGCTAGGGTTAATACGCTAAAGCAATAAATATCAAACATAATTGTTAAGAAATTTGGCTTGTTTGTATTTCCTAAACCTTATATAAAGGGGGCTAATCAAGGGATTAGTATGTGTCATTGGTGTAGAACGTTACAAAAACATTGGTTTAGAAAAAGCATGTGAGGGCAATCATTGTAAACTATGTTGATTACTCGTGGGGTTAAATTTCTAAGGTTTTCTCTATATTCTATAATTGAGTAAGCGAGATATGTAATCTTGAGTGATTATATTCTCTTCTTTAATAGTGCAGTGAGTGCTAGGGGAGTTAAAAAATATCCGATATCCAAACTAGAATCGAAAACCGAGATAAATTGAATTGAAATAAAAAAAAAAAACTGGGTACTCGAAAATCAGGTTTGGTTTCGGGTTACAATATGAGAGAAAATAGGATTTTCGGTTCGATATTGGTTCGAATGTGCTTAAACCCGATTACCCGAACCAGTTTAGGGTTAAAATAAAAATCTTAATTTAATTTTATCTACTTCCCAAACCCAATAACCCTAGTTATGTACCCTGACCCATGGTGTGCTATTTCCACTCCACTGCTTCGGTACGGCGATGCTCTCGGCTCCCCTATTTGTCGTTCCCGTGCCGAGGTAGAGTATACATATTTATAAATAATTTAACTGTTCATTGTAAGTTACATAGGATTTTAGAGTGCATTTTCCAAGTATTTAAGAGACAAGCTTAATGTCTGAAAGTCCCTTTCACTTAAAAGGGGTGTAACCGACTTGGGTGAATGACTCAACACCTGCCCACCAATTTGTCATACTACACATGACATACCGGAGGGATATTTATCTTCATTCTAAATAAAGGTTTGTAGCACATCTTTATCATCAAGCTTAATACAATTGATTTATATTTTTCCTCTGAGAACACCTAGCTCTTCAAACTTAAAAGAACTCAAAAATCAACTGAATTAATGATTGGTTATAATAGTTTGACCCTTTCTTAAGTACATTTTTATTTTAATTATTCAATTTAAATATTTAAATGCAATTATATCAATATTAAAAGTAATAAAAATAATATTTATTAGTAATTAAAAATATTAATGCATCTCATTAACAATTGAACAGAACAAGAAAAAAGAAGACGACTCAAATTTCTTTTTACATAAACGTAAAACCAAGCCTCTAGTACTTACCACCCATTTTTTAAAAATTGGGAAAAGTTACAGCAATAATTAAATTATGAACCACACGATATTAATATTCTGTAAATTCTTCACAATTGAATTTTCTTTAAATAAAAAGAAGAAAAGTCAGTACAAAGGAAAAATGTTAGAAGGCATGAATGAAAAATAAGGAGAACAGCTGAATTTGATCCATCACTTTTTTCCTAATGGAAGTATCCATTACACCACACACAACTCCAATTCTTCTCGACTGTTCCATTATGCATGCCTCCACCAATAACACAAACTTCACCTATAACACTATAATCTCTTCAAACTTTTCTTTCTGGCATCTATTTTCTTCTTGTCTGCCTGCACTTTTGTCAACCCACCACCTTCTTTCTTCTGTACAGCTGGTGTTGCTGCAGCAGAACCACTGTTCCCTATATCGGATACAGGAACTGCAGCAGCCGGCTGGTCCTGATTATTTCCTCTGGTAGCTGTTGCAGGGGCCAAAGGTGATGGTGTTGGTGATGGCAATGGCAATGCACCACCTGTTGTCATGTTCTTCTGATCAACATTATGAACCGAGGTGTTGCTCTGGTCCACATTCAATGCTGTAGTTGACTCTGAAATAGCTCCCGACTTAAACTTTGGTTTTGGCTTTGCATGAATCCCGGTGTAAATCCTGCATATAACAACAAAACTTTAGGGACAATTATAGTGACAAGTAAAATAATTAGCATGATGTCAGCTTTTAATCTAACTACACAAGGTGGTCATGGTATACGTTCCAAAAATACGTCCATTTCATAGACAAACTCGCACATGTAACAGCCAGTTAATTAGAATTCAAAAATTCCCATCTGCATTAAACATGGATAACCATTATTATCCATACTAGCGGACATTGCATAAGGTGGGCACAATAATGGTAAGTTTATTATAAGTACTATTTATGGCCAAGGCAATTGAAATTAACCAATGCAGGAAATTACAAGAGTTTGTTCCACAACATCCTCAAATAACTAGACATGTCACACATACTGTGGAGCGGTAGTTAACGACCAAACCACATGCATTATTTTCATCCATGACCACTATAGCACAAAGGTGTTCCTCATAACACTTCAGATAATTCACCTGTAACGTTCCCCTGATTCCACACACTACAATAGAAAGCACATAACAGAATAAAGAAGGCTCACACTACAATAGAGAGCACATAACAGAATAAAGAAGGCTCTCTCACCTGGCATGTCTGGCATACTCCTCATAATTTTCTAGAAGCATCTTACCAGCCTGTTCATTCAAAGCTGATTCTGGAAATGGCTCAATCAATAAACACCGGACCACCTATTATCACAAAATTTTAGAGTAAGAATACTAATCACAAACCCAAAGATCTGAAACTAAAATAGCTAAAATGGACTGTTTAAGACTCAGGGAAAAAAAAAAAGGCAGGGAATACCACTACAAGTGCTAATATAACTTACAATGAGAACATGTCGTAATCCGAGACTTGGATTCCAATCCTTTTTAAGCGTATTGACACAAATTTCACCATTTGTTGCAATGTTCGGATGGAAAATCTTAGTCATGAAATAACCTACAATATCCATGTATCAAATATTCAAATTGCATGACAAGGATATACATTGTTCAGACACGATAAACATATACAGACATAACAATCTGCAACAACAAACCTTTAGGAGGAGAGTGGGGGAAGTCATGAGACAATAACAACTTCATGCGGAAAACACCATTTTCATATGGAGTTCCAGCTGCAAGGAACAAAAAAACTTACTTCAGCATTACAGTAGGCCTCAGAAGATGCAAAAATATGAAGGACAAAGGTTACATGCCTGGGCCTTCAACATCAGCATATATCGTTGAAAAATCATCATCATTTACTCCAACTTTAATGCCCTCTGGGGGTGATTCATCAAGACTCTTCAATTCCTTTGCAAGTTGCTTTATCACATTTGGTGGAAGATTTTCATTAGTGGCCTAGAACAACATTACAAAACAAGTTGTTAGAAGCCAAACAAAACAACTCATGTCATAAAGAATATCATCAAGCTTTATGCAAAAACTCCGGTATCCAGGATCCAGTCACCAACTGATGAACATTTACTACATCCTATTATATCAACTAATCGTGATAAAATGAAACAATATGCAACATTTTTCAATACTTCTTTCCATCATTAAAAGCTGAAAAAGTTGCATGGCTGATCTCAATACTAACATCATTTATCTTAGCATTTCCTGGCCCATATAAAAAATGCATCGTTTAACTGAGTCTAATACATCGTGAATTGTTTTATAGATTTCCACATTAATAAGGTCATATAAAAAACAAAAAATTTACCATAGCTACAACAGGAAATGGGATCCTTCTAATAACTTCTGCTAGGAAAGAAATCAAAACTCCAGCAAATTATGTGCCAAAAGCTTCTTGAACATTCAGTGGTAAGAAAATCAGGGTAATGCCAAATGTACCTGAAAAATAATGACAATTTCAGTCACTTGTCTCAAATTTAATAATGTAATAATTAGAAAAACTGACATCAATTCCAATCAGGAGTAAACGAAAAAGTAGCTATCATTCAAAGATGTTTATTACATATAAAACAGAGAAGGGGGCCCACAACGATGCACTAGCTATAACTACCCATGTACATGCAATTTGGCAAACAAGTCAGTAGATAGAAGACAAGAAATCTGATTTAAATTCAAAAATCAGAACCTTTCAACAATTCAGAAATAATGAAAACTACATAACTAACAAAAGCATGAGGGTGTCAATGGGCCTGATCCAGCTCCAGCAGACCATGAGTAGTATATAACAATGGCAAATGCAAAATTTTGGGTGGATTTGTTTAATCATATTGAACATAACATCCATCTTTCTAAAGTGGGCCAACAGCAAGTTTCTACAGCTTAAACACAAAGTTTTCAACAGTCTGCAGCCATCAAAAGATGTTAACAAATACAGTCACCCATACTTTCTGGTGTTCAAAAGATGCCAATCAAAGAAGATAGGGTCAGGTAGAAAGAAAGGTGCAAGGCTGGGTAGCCTAGCCTAGTTTTCGAGCAAAAAATTTGTATTTTTTTATACTAGTCAAATATAATATGATGTCAGCCAAACTCTAATTCAGAACCAGACCCCGGAAAGGGATTTGAGGTTATTCATGTAAACAGTCAGAGAACGACTGGAAAATTCATACTGTTAGCTCAATTATAAAACATAGAATTTCTAGATATATATCTACTTAATAAGTAAAATTTCCCCCAAGTGCAACAAGTAGGTTGCAGGGCTTCTGTTAACTATTCATTGCAACCCTGCAAACAAGTCCCCTCAGCATATATTCACACATAACTTAATACAAGGTAAACTCGTGCACAATTGATCCAAAGAAAAAACATTTTGCGCCTTTCAAATTCATGCAATCTCTTGAAACATAAAATCATTTATAGAAAGGCTCGCTGTTGAGCCAACTTAATATAATCAAAATGTATAACACTGTAGTTAACATTCAGTACACGCATCCTCCCAAATGCAAGCAGAAAACCAAAAAAATTCCTAAAGAAACATTCTCGTCTCTTAAAATGCCAAACAGCCTACTGTATCCTTCAATAGCTAAACTTTGGCAGATTATTTCTAGTAAAATGCAAAAGAATTATCAGTACTATTCCAGCGGCTGTAATATCTGTACTAAATCATGGAACTACGGTCATGATTCACAATCTCACAATAATAACTCTGTCACAAAAAATCTCCAGCAAATCTACTTCATGTAACAGTTAAAACAGATCATAATATTCTGCTAGCAATCACTAGATCCAGTATTATAATTTAAATGGTAAGGCAAACATCTTAGTTGAAAAAAAGACAAGACCAATGGGAAGACTCAATAGAAGAGCCAAATTTTCTAGCAATTTAAATGAGAGCCAATGTGGGTAATAATTCCCACTAAAGTTACTACACTAAGCACTCCTATATGCAATATGAATCTAACAAATTGGAAATGCAACAATTATAACTCTTACATCCTATTAAATTGCATTTTAAAGCTTCTCCCACCTGTTTCTAATATATTTTTCATCTTGCACCTGCTTTATTTATTTATTTTATCTTAAAACTAGCTGAGATGAGCAAAGCTGGACTTCTATAACATAGGAAAGCTCCGAAACTCATCAAAATAGTAATCAACAACCATAAAAATCAAATTGAAGAAAGAAGCATAATTGTGTAAGAACATAAGATAGAGATGAAGCAAAAACAATCGGAGCAACGTAAAAAACTAGAACTATGAACGAAGCCAGATAAGATGAAGAAAATGATAACTAGAAAAAAAAGAAGCAAATCAAAACCACTAATTCATAAGATATCCTAAAAATGCATAAAGACAACAGTGAGAGAGAACACCAGTAAGAACTCACAGAGACATAATAGAACCAAACTAGTAATTCATGAAATCAAATGAACCCATTTGCCAAATCCCTAAAAGTCAAATGGTTGATAGACTCATTCCCAATTCAATATAAGCCCTTACACAATGAACCTAATCAAAACGTACAAATATACAAAGTTTATTCGTAAAACGAAGAAAAGAACCTTTAATATACATGTATATAAAAAATTAAAAAAGAAACCCTCAGAATCAACAAAACTGAATCAAGAAAAGTATCTGACATTGCCATTTTACAAAGAAAGCAATCACATACAGTGAGATTACATATTCCAACATAATGCATCAAAGAAAAGCTAGTGAAATAAAGAATCAACTCATAAACAAGCATCAAAATCCAATCTTTACATCAAACTAACATACTTTTAACTCAGATTAATATAAAAAAAGATAATGACAATCACATTCAAGAGTTTAAAGCAAAGAGTGACGAATGATCAATCATGCAAATATATTGACAAATCCATAAAAGAAGCAAGAACCCAGATGGGAAATCACCTTATCTCATGTAATTATCCTCTTGAGAGAGAGAGAGTGAAGAAGAGTGAGAGAGAGAGAGAGAGAGAGAGAAGAGAGAGGAGAGAGAGAGAGGCGTGGTGTAGATGAATGTTGAAATACACAGACTCAGAAAGCGATGTCTTCTTGGAATGATTGATTATATTTATATTTATTTTTAATTGAGAAATAAAATAATATGAGTTTTTTTTTTTAAATTGAATTATTAATCTATTCTATTTAATTATTTCATTTTTGAAATGACGTGTCGCTGCACCAGATCCTCAGGATTTCTAGTCGTTGGATTCTTAATGTTTAGTTTTAAGACGGTGTAGTAACGCTCCCTGATTGAGCGTGTTTACCACCATCCTTGAAATTTATAAATAGAACGTTGACAGAGTAATGTTTGGAATTCATAGTACATATACGCGCGTGGGATTAATAAATTATTTTTCTTCTTTCAAAATGTAACATTAACTATATAGCAAGTTGGAAAATCTGAAATGACAATTTTAGCCTTACTACAGTATTATAATATTAATTATGTGGCCTTGCTATAAATAAATAAACGTTATAATGGAAGATATTAAAGAGGTTTTAAAATTTTAAGAAGGTTATTAATGTTCTAAATTTATTTTATAAATTTTAATAATTGAATTTTTTTGTATATATTGAATTCATATTATAAAAGAAGTGATATATATAACTTTTTTTTTTTGTTTCTTTCTTTGTATAATAAGGATAGCTCTAATAATAGAAATGGTGAAAGAAAAGCACCCACTACTAGTTAAGAGAGTGATTCGGTTGTTAACAACTGCAAGTTTATAACGAAAAAAATATTGAAAAAACTTTTTTATAGTAAATTATAATTACTTAATCAAAATAAATGTATTTGGAAAAAAAAAAAAAAAAAAGAGGTCGGGAGGAAATAAATCAAAATCATATGCCATCAAGCCTATGGTATAAAGGGGAATGTGAATTTTTCTTTCCCAGTGTTCCTTTATGAGAAAGTGTACGATAATTTTTATAAGAGTGTTCTTGGCTCACATTAAAAAAGATGAATATTGAAAAAACTAAAAAATAACATGAAAAATAATAAGGGCAATGTGTAATTTCCAGTTGAGTGGTGTAAGGGGAATCTAGTTAGCTTTAAAAAGTAAGATTTAAGGAGGTTAGGGGTTGGTGGAGGTTGAGGTCCGAAGTTTGTGGGTAGTGAACAAAAGTCTAGCCTTTATGTCCTTTGTGGTATTAAATTTAATTTCAATTTGAATTTAACCGACGCTTTGGTTGGTGACCGTTAGACTTGCCCACTCCAACACCAACTAGCCGTTAACAGTGCCGGGGCCCGTGACAGCTCCAATGTGTTGGTGTGTTTGGCCAAGCAAACAGATTCCATTTTTGGTGTTTATAGTTTTTTATTGCAATATTAATTTAAGGATAATAAAAGTATATGCACGAAAAATAAATTTACAAAAATTATTAGCATTTGTATAAAAGATTAATACAAGAGATCCTACCAAATTGAAAACTATTAAAACAAAAAACAGAGAAAAGAAAAAGACTCTAAGAAATGTTCTTAAATATGTTTTAGAGTAAACGACATATTCCCACCCAAGTTTGACGAAATCCCAAGTTAGTACCACTGGTTTCATTTATTCCAATTCACACTCTTAAAGTAACAGTGTTATGAATTTTTAGGGTTTAGAGGGTATAATTACCATAATGCCCTAACCCTAAATTAATTAAAATTATGTTTTAACCCCTAAAATAGTAGTATTACAAAACTTACTATTTTATTTTCAAATTATATCAAAAACACTCTCGGTCACTATACACCATCACCGAAAACAGCTCGATCTGGGCTGTTTCCAGCGACGTCGAACCCCTGGTCACCTCCATCACCTTCCCCGTAGTCCGTCGTCCAAAACCCCTCTGGTTCCCGACTCATTGCCCATCCAATCACCGGCACCGTTAGGCTTAGGGTTTCGGTGTCTTCACCGGATTTTGGTCGATTCCGGCGGTGAAAATCCAATTGGACACCACCAATGCAACCACCGTCCCCAATCTTAAAACCCCTATGTCTCCAGCAACCGTTTCGTCGTCATTCGCTGGCCGAGAGTTCGTGTTCATTGGCCGTTTTTCGTTGCCGTGGCGGAGATCGGCGAGTGATGAGAGGGGTTGTGAATGGTATGGTTTTGTAGAGGGGGAGGAGGGGTTTAAATGGTGGTGACTAGGGTGATTTTGGATGGAGAATCACCGGAAAAGAGTGAAAAACGTCGAGAACGACGGCTGCTAACGTGCGCCGGAGGACTGTTAGAGGGGTGGTCTGCTAACGTGCTCCGCCCATGTAAAATGACCAATTTACCCCGTTACCGTTACATCAAACGTTTTTCCGTCACTTTAAGGGTGAGAATTTGGAATAAATGAAACCAGTGGTACTAACTTAGGATTTCATCAAACCTTGGTGGGAACATATCGTTTACTCTATGTTTTATAATAATATCTAAAATCATTCAACATATGGATCAAATAATTAAAGGTATGCAACCGATACATAATAGCTAACCTTGTTGGTAGTAACGCATATGATTGTCTTCTATTGTTGTTCCATCTTATATGTTATCATCCTATTGTGATCGGTTTCTTTTCTGTCATCTTTAATGTTCATTGTTTTTTTTCCATAGATTTTTGTCAGACTATAATTTAAATTTTACTGCATTTTATTGGAATTTTAAGAGAGAAATGAAATTATTGTTTTATAATTATGAGGAATTAATTGTTTGAGAATATAATATAATAATTGGTTAATTTTGTGGATTTTGGATGTCTTAGATATACTCCTTCAAATGGAAAAAAAATTAGCAAGAACAGGAACTTTCATGGTTGAGAGCGTTAATATAATAATTTGTAAAGGGTGACGATCCAATAAAATCAAGTCTGTTACATTACCATTTAATTTATGTGCCGCTTTAGAAGCAGATGGCCATGCATTAATCACAAGTTTCAATTACTGAACATTTCAAAGCACGAACTTCATACAAATTAGTGTAAGTAAACGTATCACATCAATTTAGTGTAATACTGTTCATCCACACCAATTTGGTATGACACTATTTATCTACTATAAATATATTTTATTTTTTATTTGTATTTATTGGATAAGGGGTACACCCATGATGGGTTACCCAAGCGACGTGTGTGAGATGAATTGTCAAATGCAGTTTCTCTTCTAACCGCTACTTATAAAAGAAAAATTCTTTCTTTGAGTCATGAACACTGTTACTCTAAAAAAACGCAAGAAAAATATACGCTCTCTCTCTCTAGAATTTGGAAAACAGAAATATGATTTATGGTCTTTTTCCAGATTACTTTGTTGCTTTAGAGATAAGGAAAGGAGGTATTTATGCTGTGTAAATTCATTGTAGTTCATTTATATACAAAGTGATTGCAATGGTGACTATGATCTTGGGATTATGTTAGGTATATGTTATTCTATTAATTTCAAAATTGGTATCAGAGCCGTGGTTCATTGTTTGAAATTCATACTGATGTTGAAGATGTTATTGGTTTTTCAAATGCAGTTCTGATTTTTTTCAAATTTTGTACGTAAAAAGTTGTCTTTTTGGTAATGATTCTTAGACCATTAAATTCCTTATGAAATTATGAAGAAAATGGTTTTTGAATCATAAAAAAATGGAGTTAAAATGACTTAGATATGCCTCTTTGAAGTTTCGGGTTTCGAATGGGTTGATTTCCGGGTCGGGTACCCATTGTAGACCCGGACAGGGTTGAAGACGACACAAACCGACACGTCGTTTTTGATCCACCCTTATGAATGACATGTCGTTTTTATCCTGTTAGTTTTTTTTTTGAAAAAAAATTCAAATAGGCGTGGGTGGTGAGACTTGAACCCAAGTCTTCATGGTTGAAGCCCAATACCCAACCACTGAGCTAATTTTGTTTTGATGTTAACCATATTCACAACCCATTATATTCCTATCCGGCCCAACCATAATCCAAATAAATAAATGGGTCAAGTTGACCCGTGGACCCGATCCATATGACCGAACCGGTTAGTCAAACCGATCAACCCAACCCGCAAAGTCAACGGGTCAGTCAAACCTGGTCAAGACCCGACCCGAAAAGTCAACGGGTCAACTCGGGTCAGGATAGACCCGTTTAGTGTGAAACGGGTTGACCCGACCCGTATTGTGTGTGAGCGCGTGGAAGCTCCTCCGGCGCGTGGGAGCGCGTGGGCATCCTGTTGGCGCGTTGCCGCTTCTGGGGGCACGTGACAGCTTTGCGCGGCGTGGGGGGCGCGGTGAAGTATTGTAAATTTTTTTTCTTTTACTGTAAGAATAAAAATGCATACTTGGTATATTGTTATGAGTCTAATTTGTTATGAACCATAACACGTGTATTATTTATCAAATATAGTCAACCTTTATTTGATAAATAAATAGTTTTTTTTGTATTTGTTACAGAAAAATGTTACGTTATAGATGTGCAATGGTTGCTAGAAACCCGCTCAAAGGGAAAGGGTTATGAACATGATTAGAACTCTACAAACTCACACATGATTTTAAGAGACACAGAGGATGGTTGGTGCAACTCGTAAATCATTTCATTCATGTGAATGAAAAGATTCAGGAAATTGTCTGGATAGGGGGATTAAAGGAAGATGAGTCAAAATTCCAGTTCTAAGAGAGACTTTGGTTACCCTAATCTCGTTGGTCTCCTTGATATGGTTGGACCAAGCTGAAAGTTCATAACTTTAAAGATGACAATAAAAATTATAGACGTTTGGTCAACAACTAATCAAGGATACATAGATTGGGGTGCAAAAAGGACAGCTGGGGCATCTATAGGAGTCTCCACTCGTAAGGACATCATAAGAAACTGGGAGTTCCCCTACTTAGGGTTAATTACAAGTTAGATAAAGACCTTAGGATAAGGATTATCGATCCTTCCCAGTTTTAGGAATGTGGCTGTACACTTAATTTTTTTTTTTTTTTTTTTTGTTTGTTTTGGAATTTGTTTGTTTTAATTATTAAAAGTTGAATTCTATTTACATAATGTAATTAATTTGTTTATTAAAATTTAAAATTTTATGTGAATTG